CCATGGAACAACTACAAAACAAAACAAATTAAAAAAAAACTCATTTTCCGGGAAAAAAAAACTTTTTTTTTCCCAAAGGGTTTTCCATATTTCACCAATTAAACATTCCCCGTGCTATTCTATGTAATTTCTTGCCCTCCAGTACCATATCCTGTTTCTTATTCTGCTATATCAGTTCCTTCATTAGGGATTTTTGATTCTCAGCATGTTAGGGGCTCAGCTGTTGCTGTGAACATACACAGGAAAAGCAAGCTAAAGATAGAAATCCGTGACCATGATTCTGAAAAGAATAATAACAACAATAATAGAAAAGCCCACCACAGATTTCTGGAGTGGGATAATTGATCATTTTGAAAACCCTGGCTAACTTTAAAGCAGACCTTATAAGGAAAGCCACTGTTAATCCCTTGTGCTTGAAAGTAAAGACTCAGAAACTTTCCCCAAAGATTTTTTTTTTAATATCAGCAAACCGTAAGCCAGTTGAACAAATGTTTAACATGGACAAAAACTGAAATGAACAACTTCTTTTACATGAAATGAATCTACTGCAATGGAAAGAAGAGCCAGTTTGGCATCATGGGAAAAGGACCAGCCGTGGAGCCTGGGGTTCAAATTCTGCCTCTGATACTTACTATGAGACCCCATGCAAGCAACTTAATCTTTTAGTGATCTGGGAAATCCTCTAAGACTCTAAGTTACAAAAGGGCTGCCAATGTGCATTGGCAAAAGGAGTTTTTAGACAAGGAATTCTCTATGCCGATGAAATATGGACACAACTCTACATCATTCCAACAACACAGAAAGCCCACTGAATTATCTACTCATCATTTGCTCAATCATCACACAATTTTTTAGTATCTACTACTTGTAAAGTGGCATGGGAGATAAATAAGATAGAGTCCCTTCAAAGGATCTGAATTCAAATCATAATTTTGTCACATATTAGCTGTGTGACCCTGGACAAACCATTGAATTTCTCTAGTACTCAGCTTCCTCATCTATAAAATGAAAGGGTTAGACTAGATGACCTCTGAAATACTCCCCAGCTCTTAATCTAGGATCCTATGTACCTTCCATCAAGGACCAAAGAATATAATGGGGATTAAGTATAACTATTAGTGCAAAGTACAATGTGGTAGGTATAAATAAGAGACACAAAAATTCAGAGGAAGGAGAGGCCAATTCTGCCTGAAGTGATCAGGGCAGACTTCATGGTTGAGATGGTAAGGCCTTAAAAGACGGGTAGGATTTCAACAGGCAGAAAATGGACACATATCAGATTTAAGGAAAGCAAAGGCATGGAGGCAGGAAAATACAGGATATATTCAGGGAATTTCAAAAAGAGTAGGACATGTAAAGGACAATCATGAGAAAAGCACCTAAATGAGGTGGCTGTGGCCAGATTGTGGAAGGCCTTGAATGCCAGGCTGAGATTGGATTTTATTCAGTAGGCGATGAGGAACCACTGAAGGATCTTCAGCAGGAGACAGGAATTCATATTACCAGAGCTATGTATTGGGAATTATGGCACTGATCTGCCAGCAAATTATAGTATAAAGCAGAAAGGGGAGAGCTGAAGGCAGAGAGACTGGGTAGGATAATGACATTTCAATAATTCTGCTTTTTTGGCTCTGTAGACTCATCAGTGTAGGGATTCTCTTCACTGATACAATCACAACCCATTCATGCCTGCCCTTCCTATGAAGTTGCTGTCTTTGTTATCCTGGAGGTCTGCCATAGAGGACCCACCCAACCTGTTAGGGTTCTTGACAATGTAATAGAATCTGCTGATTATCCCCAGTTATCCTGTATTATCCTACGTTCTTTCCAAATGTCTGACCTGTCTTTCCAATGAGACTTATCTCTAATGCTATATTTTGCTTTGCTTCTGCAATGTGATCCTTCATTTGTAATTACTGTAAACATATGTGCTCATTTTTAAAAGTCATATATAGTTCAGCCTTACTAGGGCCTTTCCTATTTTTCACCCAAAGATTAACCTTTTATTAGTATTATCTAGAGTCGGCTGTGTTCATACAATTAGAAACACAAGATCTTACACACACACCCCCCAACACACCACACCCCCTCTTTCCAAAACACAGGCATGTCGCATGTGGAATTTCTTCCCATTGTGGCTTCATCCATAACTCTATCTTTAAGAATAAAAGTAAATTTATGCAATAGAATAATTGACAGGACTATAAGTCTGCCAAGGCTAAGACATTAGGTGCTAAGGTCTCATAGAAACAAAAAATAGAGAAGAAAGAAAACTTTTGTTTATACTTACTACATTTTACATTGCATTATAGCACACCAATACATGATTGGTGGAACTGTGAAGTGGTCAAATTGTTCTGGAAAACAATTCTGAAGTAGGCAAGAAAATGAACTAAATTGTTCCTGTTCTTTGATCCAGCAATCCCATTACTAAATATATACCCCCAGGAGGTAAAAAACAGTAACAAAGGTCCAATATATTAAAAAAAAATATTCGTAGCAGTTTTCTTTATTATGGAAACAAAGAATGGGGGAATGGGAAAAATGAGGGCCCAAGAAATGGTGAATGGCTGAGGCATCATGGTACACTAGAAAGATTACTGGATTTAGAGCCAGAGAACTGGGAATTGAGTCTCTACTTTGAACTTTAATACCTATGAGATTTTGGACAAGTTACTTATCTGTGCCTCAGCCTCCTCATTTATAAAATAAGAAGTTTGGACAAGATGACTTCTGAGGGTCCTTCTGACTCTATCTCTGTGATCCGATCATATGAATGTAATGAAATATTATTGGATGGTAAAAAGAATGACACATATAAGGAATTTCAAAAAATATAGGAAGATTTATGTGAATTGAGGCAGATCTAAATAAGCAAAATCAGAATAAAAATATTTATAATAACTACAATGACATAAATGAACATTAAAAGGAAGCCCAATTCTAAGTAATTGTAATAACTAATCTTAGTCCCAGAGAAGAAATAATAAAACATTCCTCCCTTCTCAATCTCACTAGAGAGGCAGAAGGCTAGGAGAGCAGAACATTGCATTCATTGTTAGATTCTGTTACTGAAAAAGTTGTAGATACTTAATTGTCTTTCTATTTTACAAGAGACAAGGGTTCAATTTGTGGAGGATGAAAAGGAATGTCATTTTAATAAGTAAGTTTTAATACCTTAATAACATACTAGTAATAAGTTTGTCAATTTCATGCAACTGACTCCATTTTGTCTTAAGCCTCCATTTTGGGATTGGGTTATTTGGGGTAAGTTATTTTTCTATAAGTTGTTTTTCAATACCAAGACAACCATTTGTGTGGTATACTGTAATAAATGACATGTGTGTTCTTAAATAATTTTTAAACATATGTGGACCCTTTGATAAGACAGACCACCAATTAAAAACACAGTATAAGCAACATTATCAGAAACTTATATAGTAAACTACCAAACAAATTACGTGGTTAAAAAAAACACTTAGAAACATCCATAGGTAAGAGTATAAAAAACATACTGGAGACCCCAGTTATAAGCCTGTTCCTAGGAAGTGACTATGGCTGGCTCCCGTGTTTCTTGAACTTGAAACTCAAGCAAGTTCATGTTTGTTTGAGGATAATGTTGACTGACTGACAGAAACTTGCCAGATGGCCATCTAGGAGGGAAACACACAACCTCCAGCTGGGCAGAGAAGGAATCTTGCTGTGCATAGAATAGTAAAGATGCTTGCTTATCTTAACCTCTAAGACTCAAATTGGCAGTTTGTTCTTAGTTTGTTCTTAGGTAGTTGTATGAGTGCTTTGATTAATAAAGTCTGATTTCATGCAGTGAGAAAAGGGGTATTTCCATCAACTAGATAACTCAGCTATAAGTGAGTATCATACATTATATATATCAGGATATGATTGTGATATATTTTCCATTTCATTGAAGCACTGCAAAGAACAATGGGTCTGACAATGGAAGCCTTGGGTTCAAATCCCAGCTCTGCCCCTTGCTACCTATGTAACCCTGGGATAGTCACTTAACCACTCTAGGCCTCAGTTTCCTTATCTGTAAAATGAAGGGGTTGAACTAGATGACTTCAAAGGTCTCTTCCGTCTCTAAATTTATGATCCCATGATCTTCCTCACAGAATAACAAAACAATTAAAACTTCAGGCAATCCCACAGTGCTGAGGTAACAGTAGACTACTGATTGAAAGACCATAGCCAATAAAAGCTAAAAGTTTAACTCCCACTGCAGATGACTATTAGCAGTATTACTTTAATGGAGCAGAAAGTTCCCAGCCCCAGGAGAACCAACCCTTCTGGCCCTCACAATAGAAACACCTCTGCCTTCTACTTATAAAGGTGCTCATTACAATACAATTGTTCAATTCTTCTCCACTCTTAACTTCCAAGTCCAGACTTAGCTGAGATGGGTATTTTAATCTGTCTTGCTGGCTTTAATGGGTTGACTCATGGATGCCACCTTCAGCACTTGGGTTTTTCTTTGAATTCTGTGATTAAGAATGCTGTTTCCATGTACAAGATTGGACTGAAATACTCAACAAACATAAAGTCTTCCTACAACTGAACAGGGTCTTACTGGTCTTAGGGGTTAAGCCAATCCCCCTATTTTCTTCACAGAAATCGTATCCTCATTAGTGCAGCAGAGGTGTTAACTACAGATAATGATTGAGATTGTTTTAGTTACATAATAAAGATAGTTTAGTTAGATAAGCATGCTCATTTTCCATGAAGATTAGTCTATTTAGTACTTTAGTATCTGGAATACAATTTAAATAAGACTTCACTCTTAAATACACTTGATTAGTTCTGTTCTAGTAAACCAGTGATAGGGAAATACATGACCCTCTGGAGGCTTTGCAAACACAAGGGAACCAATATTCAGCCACATGGCTTGTGTCTAGAGCTAAAACACCAACGAACAACAACAACAAAAACCCTACCGCTCTTGAAATGTTTACACTTCAGTTAACAACTTTATAAATATTTACCTAGATCTTTAATAAGAGAGAGAGCTTCCCATGACACAAATGCTCCACTGCCATCATCAAGGGCTCCCTGACCAACGTCCCAGCTGTCCAGATGTCCACTGACCAGGACAACCTAGAAAATACAAATACAGAGACACTGATTTACTAAATGTGAAAAGAAAAAAAAGTTAAAATGGCACTATCTGGACTTTAATTATTCTCCTTACAAAATGTGTTAGGAGAAAACTTATGAATACATTAGACACAAGAGAATCTACAAAGCTAATTCTCCACCTCCTATGGCACCTCTCCTCCAACTCCCCATGCTATAATGGATGGATAGCAAGAATTAGAGTCAGGAACGTCTGTATTTAAATCTTTCCTCAGATACTTATTAACTATGTGACGTTGAGTAGTCACTTAAGTTCTCTGGGTCTGTTTCCCTATCTTTAAAATGAAGGGATTGGACCTTGAGGCTCCCTCCAGTTCTGATGCTTGAAGCTCCTTCCAGCTTCGAATCTATGGTCCTGTGACCTCGTGCCTTCATTCAGTAATGATTTGTTGAATTCTTTTGTGAGCAGGGATTTTTAAACTTACTATATTCATACTCCCAGAGCCTATTCCAACACCTGCCACTTATAGTAGATGCTTAATAAATTGTTGATGATTGATTGATGTATATGGTACTCTCTTGGATTCCATGATACAGTAGAAGGAACTCTATTTAGAATTAAGGGCCTCAGTCTTAATTCTAGATCACTCTAGATCTAGATCTAGGTTACCTGTGTGACCATAGGCAAGTTGTCTAACCTCTTAGGTCTTCATCATAAATTGGGGAATGGCTGAACACATTGTAATATATGATTGTGATAGAATACTACTGTGCTATAAGAAATGATAAGCTCTATGATTTTAGAAAAACATGGAAAGACTTGCTCAAAATAACAAGGAGCAAAATGAGCAGAAGCAAGAGAACATTGTACACAGTAACAGCAATATGGTTTTAAGAATAACTTTGAGCAAATAAGTTGTTTTGACTATTAGAAATACCCAAAGTAACTATGAAGGACATATGAAGATGTTATCTATATCCAGAGAAAGAACTGCTAAATAGATGTATAGAATAATTTTGCATATGTATGTGTATATACATATATACACATATAAGTTTGTGTGTGTGTGTATATATATATATACACACATACATATATATACACACACACATACATATGTCTAATAGTAGCCATCTCTGGGAGGGAAAGGGAAGAAAAAAAATAAATTTGTATAATAATTTTGTTGTATGTTTCTTGTGCAATCATCTTTTTTATTGCACTGTGTTATGGAAATACTTGTTTTATTCCTTAAATTAAAAATAAAATTAAAGAAAGATTTATTATTTGGACTAAATAGTTTCTGAAGCCTTTCTTAGCTCTAAATCTATGGTCTTATGATCCAAAAGAATTTGGAGTAGGAAGGACTCTCAGAAGACATCAAGTACAGCTCCCTCATTTTACAAATGAGAAAACTGAGGCATTAAGAGATAGGATGACTTTCCCAGGGTAACAGAGCTAGTAAGTGTCTGGGAGAAGGGAGACAAACCAAAGTATTCCTGACTCCAGCCCATTATAATACTTAAATTTACTTTATTATTAAATAAGCTTGGAGATAATATCATCCTCTAAGAGGTAGAATCCCTGCAGCTTTAAGATAATCATGCTTTGTGATTTTAAAAAATTAGTAATTTTCTCTTAGAAAATATGAAAAGTTTCTACCTGAACCAATTTTTTTTGGTGGATAAATTCTGAACAACTGCCAAGTGGAGTTGGGCTAATTATCTGGATAATTAAGGCTAAAGGAGGTCTTTCAGATGAATTATCTTGATTGAATGCCTTTAAGAAGGAATTGAGCTCCTTTCCTCTGCTGCCTCTGTCAAAACCAAAGTTCCCTTTCATTGTTGTTATATGTGGTTATTACACTGTTCCCCTAAATAGCCATGGAGCTGACCCAGAAGGAATGATTCCTGTGACCCCAGGGAAGAATGAAGACATATTACAACAACAGGAAACTCTGATTCAAAAAATGGTGTAATCCCATTTGGGATGATATTCTAATCAGTTGGCATTCTCATCTCCCTTACAATCCTTGAACTGACACAATTAAAAGGAATATTGGATTGGAAAAGAGTTTAACATTTTTTTGAATGAAATTTTACTTAGATCAGGATTTTTTTTTTTTAAGAATAGAAGAAAAGTTAATTCTGCCCTTTTTTTCTGCAACCTTTTGGCATAAGTTTTTATGGACTGGTAAATGGCACTTCTTGATAATGTTTTCCAAAATGGTTTCTCCATCCCCCCAAATCAAATCCTATACAGGATTCAATATGAAATTGGAAGTAGAAATATAGTTAAAGATAGATGAAAGATTCAGAGAACCAAGGGACATTCTATATAATTTGATCTTTGGTGTTTCTGTAGCATTTTTATCCTTTACCTCAAACAATGGAATAATGGCTAGAAATACTGGAGACAGAAAGGCATGGAGGAGGGAAAGAGCACTGGGCCTAGAGTACAGTAAGACCTGGGTTTGAATCCCACCTCTGACACTATGTGTCCATAGGCAAGTCCCTGAACATTTCAGTGCCTCATTTTTCCTTTCTGTAAAATCAGTACAATATTAACTATAGTTATTATTCATATGGGAATTATGTTCTCAAATAAGACAACTAGTTATATGGAAAAACTTCTTAACAATTTAAACTATCAGTCAGTAGAATGGATCTCTCCAATTTGATTGTAAGCTCCTTGAGGGCAGGGATCATATTTTACCTCTTCTGTATCTCCAAAGCTTAGCACAGTGCCTGGAAGGTGCTTAATAAATGTTTATAGAATAAATTAAGAATAGGTTGCTTGAGAAGGTAATGTATTAGCCTCCCCTCACTAAGGTCTTCAAGCAAAGGATGGATGATCACTTTTAAGGGATGACGTAAAGGAGCATCTTGGTAATGGGTAAAACAAGATGGCCTCAGAGGTATCTTTCAAGCCCGAGATTTTGGAATGCTATGTCTGTAAAGTACTTTGTAAATCTTTGAGGTTTATACTTCGGGGGAAAGAAGCCTTATGTGTCAACTATTACTATTTTTATTAATGGTTTCCTATAAACTTACTTAGACAAATGCAGATACAGGTAATGATGAGGACATTTGCAAAGGACTCCAACCTAGAAATGAGGTCAGACTCGGAGGACAAGATTAGAATCCAGAATAAATTATCAAAGTCGTCAGAATCTTGTTACAAATGAGTGCATGACAGGCAACTGCTGAGGAATTTCAATTTTTTTAAGGACTCAATGAGCAAACAAGTGGCAACATGTGACATAGAAAAGGATTTAGAGCTCACAGACTGAATATGAGCCAACCACAAGGAAAGTAGTCATAGAATCTAAGTTGAGCATAGGATATTCTCATATACCTAAATCTTGACAGACTGTTCTTGAGATAATGTAGGGCAAATATCATTAGAGTGAATTTCAAGGAATTGTTAATTTCTTTTGTCGTATGGAAATTTTAGTGCATTGAAACACTAATGAAAATAAGTGGGCCATCTGCTGATGCATGTCAATATTTAAATTATACAGAAGTTTTTATTCTAATGGGATATGACCAGTACTTTCACTTTCCTACAGTTTTAGAGATGTGTGGAACAACTGGAAGGGGTCTAGACTGTAAAAAAAATACTACACAAACATTTAGACTTTTTAAATAGAAAATTTAGGAAACCAGAGGCCTAAATAATACATCAAATATCCAATATCTTCTGCTCAAAGTTTAAGTTTCCAATGATGAAATTGAAAGAGACTCTGTGGGCCATGAGATTTGAATTTTGGAGCTCTGTTATAGAGCAATTCACTTCATCTTAACAGGCCTCAGTATGCTCATCTATAAAGTGGGCAAGTTAAGATATTTAAGGTCCCTTTCAATTCTAACATCATACAAGTCCATAGTCAAGTCTGTTAGGAGATCTCCATTATTTCACTTAATATCAATCCTTTTAATGACCAAGTGAAGCATGAATGGGGCCACCTTCTCCAGAACCATCAATAACAGAACAGAAAAGAGGTTCTATCCTTCTCCTAAGGCCCTCTTGTAGACTATTTATTAGATTCCTGCCCTCAACCTCCTACCATCATTCCTGTTTTTGTCTTATTTGCTCCTGGTCAGAGACCAAGCTGTGTGGTCCTCTCTTCTTACCAATCTCATTTATACTTGCCCTTTATTTCCAACATGCACTAGTTTAGCACCTAACGGAGTTGATTGTGGTCACTCATGCCAAACCACATGTAACAAGAAGCCAGAATTGCTTGAAAAAAGCTTTCACACACAGGATTTCAGTGCATGCATGCTTCCTCTGTTTTTATACTTATATTTTGAATGACTGACTGACTTGACACCTGGCTTTTAATATTCTGCATCTTAATTCTGCTACTTATACAGATTTATTACTATGGCTACGATCTACTGGACAGACTATGGGATAAGTGGAGTACTTGCTAAACCATGTCAATCAGTCAGATAGTTAGGAAATAAACATTTACTAAGTACCTACTGTGTAACAGACATGTGCTAAGTGCTGAGCCTACAAAGAGAGGCAAAATATACTCCCTGTTCTCATGTAGCTCACAATCTAATGGTGGAGACAACTATGCATAAATAAGCTATATCCAGGCTAAATAGAAAATAATCAAGAGAGGAAAGATACTAGAATTAAAAGGGGTTGGAAAAGGCTTCCTAGAGGAGATGGGATTTTAGCTGAGACTTGAAGGAAGCCATGGGAAGCCAGGAGGAGAGCATCCCCTGAATGGGGGACAGCCGGTGAAAATGCTTAGAGCTGGAAAAGGAGTTTCTTGTTTGAGGAATAGCAAGGATGTCAATGTCACTGAACCACAGAATACCTGCTGGGGTATAAGGTGTAAGAAGACTGGAAGGAGGGGCAGGGTAGGTTGTAAAGAGCTTTGAGAGCCAGAGGATTTTACATTTATTAGAGAGTATTTTCTTTTACATACATTCTATCATGGACTAGAAATTGGGAAACCCGGTGTCCTTGATTGTTTTTCCCCCAGACTGAATACTTTGATCAT